TGCGTGTGTGTGTGTGTGTGCAGCATTACTATACTTGTGGGGACCTAAATCTGTTTACACAGTCACGTGTGGGGACTCGCCTAGGGTTAGGGTTAGGGTTAGGCATGTGTTGGTTATGGTTAAGGTTAGGATAAGTCTCCAGGAAATGCATGTAAGTCAATGTAATGTACCCTGAAGTGATGTGTACATAGTATGTGTGTGTGTGTGTATGTGTGTGTGTGTGTGTGGTGTGTGTGTGTGTGTATGTGTGTGTGTGTGTGTGTACGTGTGTGTGTGTGTGTGTGTGTGTGTGTACGTCTGTGTGTGTGTGTGTGTGTGTGTGTCTGTGTGTGTGTGCATATGTGTGCGTGTGTGTGTGTGTGTCTGTGTGTGTGTGTGTACGTGTGTGTGTGTGTGTGTGTGTGTGTGTGTGTGTGTGTGTCTGTGTGTGTGTGTGTGTGCATATGTGTCTGTGTGTGTGTGTGTGTGTGTGTGTGTGTGTGTGTGTGTGTGTGTGTGTGTGTGTGTGTGTGTGTGTGCGTATGTGTGTGTGTGTGTGCGTATGTGTGCGTGTGTGTGTCTCAATCAGACAGTACAAAGACACACAGTGGATTTCTGCTGTGATGTAACCTTAGTAACTATACAACAATAAGAGGGATAAAAACAAAATGTCACTCACACTTATGCAACCTGTGGAGTTGTGACGGATGTATAAAAAAAGAAAAAGGTGACGCTTGAGCTTCAATAATTGTTTCCCTGCAGATGTTCTTTGAGAGCAATTGAGATTTGTAACAATGGTCTTTGTTGTCGCGCACAATTTGAAGCAGCATTAAGAGACTATTTCAGTATAAAATGCACCATAATTCTCTGTTTGTGCTGATTAAAATACTCCATCACAACTACAAGACCTGACTTCAAAATGTAAGTAAAAGTATGTACTTAAGTACTCATTCTGCACCATGGCCAATTCCAGACAAATGTACATTATAGAGTCCACAGGAAAGAGGAAAACAGAGGATGCCACTTGAAATACTCAAAACCACAGGTCACAATTATAATCTACAATTATAATACTTTAAGAAATCCTGTGCGTGAGTGCATGAAGATATCTACATAGTTCAAATAGGAGTTTAAATATACTTTAAGATTCTTAGATATGTGGAAAATGCAAATGGAACTAAAGAACAATCTCAGTCTTTATCTGACAAAGTATTATCATAGAGTATCATCACGGGAAACTCTTCTGGAAAAATACAAGTTGCATTCGGCGCCGTAAGTCTGAGTGTTATCCCTGAAGGAGTGTAAGATCCTCCCACAGCAGTCTGAAAGGATTTCTCTGGGTATCTATTTGCAAACAAACACCGGGCTGAAGGTGGACGGCACTAAGTGTCTGACATCTGATTTTTAATTAAAGCCAAACACGATATATCTCTCTCTCTCTCTCTGAGGGTGTGTGTCACGTCTCCTGCAGATTATCCTCTGATCTGTGGCTCTCCGCGGCTCCAGAGGATTATTATAAACTCTGATACCATCACAGGCTGGGGATTCCCCGCCTCTGACGGATTAACCATCTTTAGTTGTTGTTTGCTTGTTTATTTGTGACTCGGCTGATGTTAAATGGAATCGACAGGACAAGGTCAGGGTGATGAACCTCATTGTTAGTAAAAGGAAGGACGCGAGTGAGATTTAAGTGGAGATACTACAGGAAAATACGTTTTTTTTTTCATGCATTGGACAATTTTGACAAACCAAAATCCATGAATACAAATAGCTTAGCTTTAAAACATGAAGGTGCGACAAGTAGAGTTTATCAAGCATCAATTTGAGGCTATTTTCCTTCCATAACGTGCGTGCTTTCTGACTAGTGGAAAGGAAACATCCAAAATCCACGATTAGGAGTTTACTTTGTCTACTTCACCAAAAGTTAGCCATACAAATGCACTTTTGAACATAATTCAGAAGTCATTTTAGCCATGCCTCATTTTGCTCAATTTGACATTTTTTAGATCTGTTTTTAGCAAGGGTTGATTCTGTGAGAACAGCACCATCTAGAGGCCTGGCATATGTACTACAGCGTCTCCAGCGCTTTCGAACGGCAATGGCCGTGGCTGTCTCCTCCTGATTGGTGGAGTTGGCCCAATAGCCGTAGCACCACTGTCCTGACGTCAGGACAGTGTTCAAATCTGGATCAGTTTTTATCAGATCCGTTGCAGCCCCTTTTTTAGAGATTTGGGTATGGAGGAAAATAGAGAGGGTTGTGTTTTCTGACACTTGGTGAGTTCCCTGGAACACCGGGGACACATATTCATGTATAAAAGACGTACAAAAGTGCATTTTGCATGATAGGTCCCCTTTAAGTCAAAGACTCATTTTGAGTTGTATCTCATTTTTTTTTTGTACATGTCACAAGGGTTTTAAGCTGCTGTGGTGTTTGTGAAAGATGGATCATCTTGTTTTAAGAAATACATCTAAACTGATTTTATAAAACACAATTTTAATGGACAATGTCCAACTAAAACAGAAACATTTTTAGCATTTCTGGCTTATTTTGTAACAGAACATTTACTAATTCTGGTCAAATATAGTTCAAAATAAGTTCTCCCAGCTAATAACGAGATTTAATGTATCTAAATATCGCATCTTATTTCAAGAAATCTAACTAAGCTAATGGGCACTTGTTCTTATTGGCAGATTGTTGTACTTCTTACAAGCAAAAACACCTTGTTTCCTTATTTGTTCCTTGTTTTTGGAGCAGCATTTGTTCCAGTGTATTGTGTAGTGTATTTCCCCCGTGTTTACTCGTCTAAATGAAAGCAGCTGAAAGCGTCACACTCCCTCCCTGCTGAGAATCACTTGTCTTCCTCTAAAAGAAATCCTCACGTTGCTCAGTCAGCCAGGAGCTTTGACCCATATTGAGTAACAACACTCAGCATGAGGCCTTTGGTGTTGACGTGTCCATTTTCCACGTGAATACAGGTGGGGCTAAAAAAAGCGTCGGACACAAAGACGCTTGTCAACACCCGATACTCTCTTTTGTTGTTCGACTTTACGGAGCGGACGGATTTGACCTGGAGGAGCGGGTTCATCTTTTGTTTTCTGTCTGGGTCTATAAACTGAGGGGGGGGGGGGGGTCACCCACTAACTGGTTGTAGGTTAATCAGTTTCCTTTGAAGAAGTGCACCTGTAAAATGATGCTTCTGGGTATTGACGTACACATGTACAGAAGTACTCAGATAGATGGTCAAAGGACGGAGTGTTGGAATATTGTAGAAATACTCAGTTTCAAGTAAAAAAAATATTTATTTAATTAAGTAAAAGTACGTGAGTATTGGCTTTAAAAAACAGTTTGACAAGATTAATTGATTTAAGAATATAGTATTTGTCATATTTTATTTCACTGTACTCCATTTCTTACATATTTATACTTTGTGTAAATATTGTCTTTATTTTTAATCTGTACAATTGTCTTTAAAATAGTTTTCAATTTTTTTTTTTATAACGGTACTATTTTTTGCTCTTTTTATTCTTACCCCAAGTAAATTCCTCGTATGTCTAAAACCTACTTTTTCACATGGTTCTGATGTGAAAAAGACGTAATTTGAAAACATTTTTAGCTTGTATTTGACAAAATGTTTAACTGTAACAACTAAAAGTCCTGCATAACAAACCCGTATTTAAGTAAAAATACAAAAGTCCTAGCATCTTATTATACTTAAAGTATAACAATTAAAAGTGCTGATTATGCAAAATAATAATATGCTTTATAAACCAGCTGCAGTATTTATAAATCAGTTCTTTGACAGACAGAAATGTTAATACTTTATATTTGTTATGTAATCAAATAAACCTGTAACTAATGCTGTATTATTGTTGTTCTTATTCGAGTGCCTTCTTCTCTGCAGCCATAGATGCAGCAGCACGCTCCCCAGGTGTAATGGAGAAGCTTCAGCTCAGTTACCTTTACAAACGGTTGTTATGCTCATTAGCTCATTAGCTCATTCGCTAACAGGCTAATTTAACGAGCTACTTTAGTTACAACGAGACCAACAAACTGTAGCATTGGCTTGGCTGTTTCTACTCTTCCATGTGAATTAATATGCAAATCAATTGTGTTTGCTGAACATATGTCCTCCTTTTGTATCACTTTAAAGCTCCAGTGTGTAGGTAAAGGTGGATCAATTAGCGAACATGGAATATAGTATTTATCACTCTGTTTTTCATTAGTGTATAATCACATGAAACTACTGAATCACTGTTATTTCTTCACCCGCCATGCAGTCTTGCAAACTGCGACTTTCTCTTAAGATTTGGCAACTTTTCACATCCTCTTAGCAAGTTGTAAAGACGTATTGAAACCAACAGTGAAAGCGAGAGGTATATTATGGGATGCATTCCTATGCTTTGGTGTATTCTAGTGACTTTTCACAACCTATGGATCTAGTCATTGCTACTTTCATTGAGAAAAAGTTGTCAAAAAAACTAAAAAGGTTGTTTTTTTTTTGCAGGCATTAAGTCACATGTCATCATTTCAATCTACAGCCAATCACAATCCGTTATTGTTATTAGAAGCCTTGCAAAGATAACAAATGTGCATTTTACTTACATGTATTTTTTATCTGTGCGTCCAGGTTGTAAAATAATAACTGAGAGTTGTATTTTCATCATTTCAATTGTGGCAAGACCTGCTACTTAACACGCCTGATTTAAACTGATTTAAACGTGCTGTGGTCCTTTGAACAGCTTCTTAAAAATCACTGGTCAGCGTACGGTTTGTTTACATTCAGCTTATGCCTCGTTAAACGCATGGTACGTGTGTAAAGAGGATCTTCTTCCCTCTCCAAGACCTTGAAACACCCTGACGTTGTTAAAGCACGGTGAACACAGGAGTCTCCTCTCAATGAAAACACAACGCTGGGTTTTCTCGTGAGTCATTATGTATTCTGGCTCACGTTTATGCTGAGCTGTGCTTTACTGCTCCAGCTTTCCCCCCCGAGTCATTCCTCTCTTTCCTCTCCTTTCAGGTGAATGTTGACGACACCATTGAAATGTTACCAAAATCAAGAAGAGCTCTGACCATTCAAGAGATCGCTGCGTTAGCGCGGTCCTCCCTGCATGGTGAGTGTGATATTTAATGTAGAAGTTAGTGAATGCATCTGATAATAAAGGTGTTTGTACTTCAGTAAAAGTAGAAGTACTCAGATCTTGTACTTGAGTAAAAGTAGAAGTACTCTGATCTTGTACTTGAGTAAAAGTAGAAGTACTCAGATCTTGTACTTTAGTCAAAGTAGAAGTACTCAGATCTTATACTTGAGTAAAAGTAGAAGTACTCTGATCTTGTACTTGAGTAACAGTAGATGTACTCAGATCTTGTTCTTGAGTAAAAGTAGAAGTACTCAGATCTTGTACTTGAGTAAAAGTAGAAGTACCAGAGTGTAGGAATACTCTGTTAAAGTAAAAGTCCTGCATTCAAAATGTTCCTCAAGTGAAAGTAGAAAAGTATTCTCATCAAAATATATTTAAAGTAGCGACAGTAAAAGTAGTCATTGTGCAGATTGGTCCATTTCAGAATAATATATATGATATGTTTTATAATGATTGATCATGAAAGTGTTCTCAAAGCTGGTAAAGGTGCAGCTAGTTTGAATGACTTTGTATACTGCAGGGTAGCTTGTGAATTTACTCCAGGTGGAACTAAAGTCTGATTTAACACTTGGTTATATTTCACATCATTCATCCAGATCTGTGAAGTAACTAAAGGTATTAAATACATGTAGTGGAGTAGAAGTACACCATTTACCTCTGAACTGTAGTGGAGTAGAAGTACACCATGTACCTCTGAACTGTAGTGGAGTAGAAGTACACCATGTACCTCTGAACTGTAGTGGAGTGTAGATTGTACAGTACTTGAGTTAATCTACTTTACACCTCTGCCCCTTGCTCTTTCTCTGCAGGTATCTCCCAGGTAATGAAGGATCATGTGACGAAGCCTACAGCCATGGCTCAGGGCCGAGTCGCCCACCTGATCGAGTGGAAAGGGTGGTCTAGACCCATCGACACCCCCGCTCCAGCGTCAGATCTAAACAGATCCTACTCAGCACTCACCGAGGGAGAGCAGGAGGCGCGCTTTGCAGCCGGTGAGACTCCTTCTGTTTGTGCTCCTTGTTTATTCAGTAAATATCACATTTAACAAACACCTTGCTTTGCTATTGTTTGAAAAATCTCACTCGTCCCCGGCTTGAGCTTCAATCTCAGGATCCATGTATTTCTGATCCTCTCCAGAATGGAAGTAGTCATCACATACAGAGCATCAACTAGTTCCTGAACAGTGTCCTTCACATGCTGATATCCAAGAGAGGGAGTTACACAGTCACAAGATGGAGGAATAGAAAGCAGTATTCAATGTTTACTTCAGATTAGCTCCACGTCAGAAATGAGCATGCTTGTCATATGTCTATCTCTATAGAGGCTGAATCATCATGTTAATCACATAGCTATCATATGCCTAAAACAGTCCTGATGCTCTTCTAGGTAATCATACATCCTGTCATGTACACAGCTACAGTTGGGATACCTTTGTTATCATGTGGACTCTGATATTGGAAGAGGACATTCAGTGTTTTCACAACAGCTATACTCCAAGTTAAGCTGGCAAGAGGGGTTAGGAAAATGTGCCAAAATAATGATTAATAATCACAGAAGGGATCCCAATTAATGAGAACCATTGTAACACATAGGTAATCAGATGCAAAATAAAAGCAGATTAGTCGTTTTATAATAGCTTCGAACAAACAAGGCTTTTTTGTAGTATACAACTTTAATATTTCCCCACTTTAAAACACTCACTGTTGCTGTTGCTACACCAAATGACGTTCATGGATCAACTGAAGAGGTGACTCACACACTAAGGGCAGGAAGGCTTATGGTAATGTGAAAAATAATGATAAAACATCCTGCAAGTACGTTTTAAAAAGCCAAAGGGGGTGCAGGGATGACGTATTTCTTTTAACCGACCCTGAAGGCAGCATCTCCCATTGGTTCCCTTCAAAAAGAACCAGTGGGATTTTAGATTTTTGCAGAAACCAAACTCTGTGACGTTTATGATACTTTGCCGTTTTGTTCTGCAGGATAATCTCCACATATTAACAGCACTTTATGATTTCTGAAGTAAAAAGCTAACTTTAGGCTATAAAGGAAATACAGCACGGTCACATGACTTCACGTCACCACCGCTAAGCTAAAGGTGGCTAATGTTGGGCTGTAAAGGAACTACAGCACGGTCACATGACTTCACGTCACCACCGCTAAGTTAAAGGTGGCTAATGTTGGGCTATAAAGGAACTACAGCACGGTCACATGACTTCACGTCACCACCGCTAAGCTAAAGGTGGCTAATGTTGGGCTATAAAGAAACTACAGCACGGTCACATGACTTCACGTCACCACCGCTAAGCTAAAGGTGGCTAATGTTGGGCTATAAAGGAACTACAGCACGGTCACATGACTTCACGTCACCACCACTAAGCTAAAGGTGGCTAATGTTGGGCTATAAAGAAACTACAGCACGGTCACATGACTTCACGTCACCACCGCTAAGCTAAAGGTGGCTAATGTTGGGCTATAAAGGAACTACAGCACGGTCACATGACTTCACGTCACCACCGCTAAGCTAAAGGTGGCTAATGTTGGGCTATAAAGGAACTACAGCACGGTCACATGACTTCACGTCACCACCGCTAAGCTAAAGGTGGCTAATGTTGGGCTATAAAGGAACTACAGCACGGTCACATGACTTCACGTCACCACCGCTAAGCTAAAGGCGGCTAATGTTGTCCGTGATAACATTTAGTCGTCTCATTTAGACACTTGTTAGCAACCACTGTTTTGAAATCTATCAGTGGGGTATTTACTGACGTATTTTATGTTGTATAACACAACGTTATAGTCTTTTGTTAACCACAGACCTTATTTCACGCTTCTAACCAAAAACACATTTTTTTAAAAACACTTACTTCAAGACACAGGAACAGGAAGTGCTAACTAATTTCCTGGTTTAAGACTGATACCTCCAACCATGTATTTGCCAAACATTGAAGAGTGCTTCATACACATTTAAAACAAATGTCAACACAGGTGTTCTTTTGGCAGAAGACTGTGTGTAGACTTTCTGCAATCTTAAATAGTGAGCTTGTCCCAAACTTTTGGAGCGATGATAACCAAACGTTTTTGTTAGAGGACAGCTGTCTTTTTTAGTTTACATCAGATGATATATTAATTATTCAGGTGTAAATGTTCCACACATCCTCTCAGAGTCCGGCTCACACACACACCTCCTCTTATCTTTCCCTTCCTCACCTCATCTTTAACATTCACTCCCGTCCTTCCCTCTTCATCCCATTCACACTGTCTTTAAACGCTCCTCTCTGCCCTCTCTCTCTCCCTTTTTCTCCCCTCCTGCTCTCCCTCCGTTCTCCCTGCAATGCAGACTCTCAAGGTTAATTTGCACAGTAAGGTTTTGCTCCTGGCTTCTGCCACCATGACTGAGCGATTTCCCTGCATGCCTCCTCTGTTCCCCTTTCTCTTTCATTTCCTACTTTTTACATGACTTCTCTTCTGTTCTCATGCCCCCAAAATGAGGCATCAATTAAGAGTTTTCGGTGGGTAGGAAAGTTCACATTTCTTTGCTCAACCATGATTTATTATATTCCTTATATAGTTTTAAACAGCTCTATAAACGGGCTTTTTTATAACAGTTTGAACCTGGCCATTGCATGAAATACGGTGAAGCTTTTAGAGATTTTAGAAAATAAATGAAGAGTTTAAAATTCAATGGAGTTTGTTATACTTGCTTCCTTCGCTAGACCTGTTTTTGAATTGTCGCTCTTCTTGGTCACATGACTCCGTTAGCGTGTATTTTATAGAGCTGGATGACATAGAGCAGGGGGGTCAAACTCAATTTCATCTCGGGCCACATCAGCATCATGGTTGCACTTAAAGGGCCAGTTTTATATATAAGACTATATAAAAATACATATATAAATATTTAATATATATAAAATAATTATATTACATTATTGCCTCTGCATTGGATTATTATCTGATAGGCTAATAACTTCATAATTAACTACGTCTGAAAGCAGAAGTCTACGGAAAATAATTGCAAGTCTCTTCAGTGCACATGTCACAAAATGATTTTTAAAAAGAAAAGCCAAATTCTGGAAAAAAAAAATAAATAAAAAAAAAGTGAAATTTTGAAAAAAAAATCTAATTCTGAGAAAAAAGTCAAATTTGAGATGCATTGTGGGACATGTAGTTTATGGGCAACGAGCTTCTGTAAAGCATCATGTAACCGTATAATAAACATATTATATTCTTGTGGGGCCGCATGAGGTGAAGTCACGGGCCGGATTTGGCCCCCGGGCCTTGAGTTTGACACCCCTGACATAGAGGAAATGAAATATCACAGATACCTCTATATCAATATTGCTACGATATTGTACCATTGTTGTCTTTTCTCAAAATACTTAAACAATGAGCCTTTTATTAAATAATCATAAGTTTCATAAGTTATTAAATGGGTAAAGGTTAATAATAAGGTAATGTCAGCCTTTTCAAACCAGGAAAAGACACTTATTCCTTTTGACAATATTGAAAACCACATCTAGTTTCATTAAGAATTGCACAATTTTGAAAAACAAACTAAATGTGATTTAAATAAATAAGTAAATAAAAAACGAAATAAACAAAGATTAATATTTCTGACTGATATTACGATATGATTCACGATATTACCAAACAAATATTTTTTATAAAGTCTGTAAAATACCAGGGTCTTCAATGCAGCATAATACTCTATTCAGATGTTTCCATATATTTACCAAAAACATTGCACTCATTGCATTATGCATATTGGACTGGTCCATATTCTGATTTCACTAAGTCTCCATTGTGCAGCCCCTATATCGACATATGTGTCTCAGCCCAGATATCTGAGGGTTGGTGTTCGGATCAGGGGGACAGGTTCAAACCCCACTGCAGTCAGCATGTCGTTGTGTCCCTGAGACACTTCACCCCAAAGTGCTCCTGTGGGGATTGTCCACAGTATTGAGTATGTAAGTCGCTTTGGATAAAAGCGTCTAACAAGAAACATGTAATGTAATGTAATATCTAGTTTGAAACACTTCGGCCCAATCCCAAACCACGCCCTACACCCTACCCCTACACACTCCCCCTCCGTGACGGAGTGAACTCCGGGGAGTGACGCTCGCAGCTCAACGAGGCTCCCTCCTATCAGATGGAGGGAGTAAATACAGCGACAAGCTTTGGGACAAACTCCCCTCTCTCCGGCAGAAACAGGAAATGCCGTAACTGTATGTAAAGCTCTTTTAGTTTTAACCCTGATGTTTATAAGCTTCTTATTTTTTGCAACAGTCTGTAAATATACACAACTTTATAATAAAATGCACACATTTACCTTTTTCTAGACTAAACACAGGTATACGATCCTACGTTTAAAAAATACGAGGTTATCATGAGGTTGTTAACATCGCAGTTTATCAGTGGATGTTTGCTGGAACTGTTTGTAAACAGCGTGTTTCCTGATGGACACACACAGCGTTGAGACCGGCCAGGTCGACCGCTGTTTGATGGCTTGATAGCCCACTCCCCCTCCACACTCGTTGGTTGGTTTGGAAAAGCACTTAATGTGGCGGACCCTCCGCGCGAACGCGCAAACTGAGGGGTAGTGTGTAGGGGTAGGGTGTAGGGGGTGGTTTGGGATTGAGCCTTCTTCTGTCTTGGCCAGGGCTCGTTTTGGAAAAGAGTTGGGACTTACCTGGTAAAATAAGATAAGATCAGATAAGATGTACTCTATGAATCCCAATTTGGGAAATGTTTGTGTTGCAGCAGCATAAAAAACAAGCCATTGCACATAAGTAGAAATGAAAAGAGTAGACATAAAAAAATCTAAAATGTGGACATCTCAAAATAGAAATAAAACAGCATTACAAAAGTAGAAAATATAGAAGTTGACCGTGAAGATAAAAAATCTATAAACTGTCTGACAAATAAAACGCTATTGAAGGGCCGATTTAAAGAAAACAAAATATCAAGCAGGATATTATATACATTGAGTGTGTAAGGAATGGATTATTAAATAAAACGCAAGGAAAAGACGCAAGTGAGGGACGTTAAGAGAAGTGAAACCCAGCTCATCTCTCTGGTCTTGGCCACATTCAGAAGCAGATGATTTGTTAATAATGATTAAAATAATATAGTTTTAGCAAGCATTGCTTTATTGTAAACGGACCATGAACAGAATCCAATCCTTAGCAAGAAGATCTGAAGCTCAGCACCGTTTCTCACACTGTTTCCATTTTTTTTTTGTACCTACCAGGCGTTTAGGAGACATTTCTATACAATACATTTCTCCTTGTCTCTTCAGATTACATCATCCATTACACCAGTTGTGCTGACTCTCCTTGTATCGCGGTGACTGTGACTGTGTGAATGTCAGCGAGCATGTTAGTACAGAAAGTGAGAGTGTGTGACTGTGGGGAAAAAAAGAGTGTGTGTTTGTGTAAGAGGCATCACGAGTTTTGGAAAAAGGCAGGTGGGGTTGTCCTATTGATGTAATGCCTCCTGCCAAAAAAACCCACACACACACACACACACACACACACACACACACACACACACACACACACACACACACACACACACACATGCATACACACAGTTTGAAGGTAATCCAGCAGTGTCTCTCCGTTGTGGCTGCCAGCCTATACTGACAGAGAGGTGTGTGTGTGTGTGTGTGTGTGTGTGTGTGTGTGTGCGTGCGTGCGTGCGTGCGTGCGTGCGTGCGTGCGTGCGTGCGTGCGTGCGTGCGTGCGTGCGTGTGCTACTGGTATCTTCAATCTCTATGTGTCCTAACTTCAGATGATATGTCTAGCACATGTTATGCAGTTTTAATTCTTATATCTTTTCAAATGAATCAAGTATTTTAACCTATTTTCTTTTGCGTAGTGCCAAACGCTCATCCAGTACATGTGTAGAGGTGTGTGTAAGTGTGTGTCACAGCATATTCGTATTAGGTTTGATTGATTTCCCCCTCTCCACTCCCAGCTCAGCTTTCACTTAGTAAAGTTGTTTGTGACATTTCTTTGTTCTTGCTACAGCGTAGAAAAGTGCTTCAATCCCAAGATACCAGCTCATCTGGAGTCAAACTTTGCATCATGCCTTCTGTTTTTATTTCCCCACAACATAACACTTAGTTTCCTCTATTTGTCCAGATAGAAACTGGGTCACCTCCTTGTTGCTGGGGATGTGGGTCAGTGGCATAACAAAGTATGAATGCAGCGAAAAAAGTGAAAGGCTTTTAAAAAGAGAACTAAAGAACATGGTGTTTGCAGTGTGTTAAAGGAGAGCCGAGATACAGTGGGAGATAGCATGGAGCATCGATCTCTCTGTGGGAGACAACGCATGAATACTGAGCATCGACCAGAGAGAGATAGAGAGAGAGAGAGAGATAGAAATCAAGATGAGAAGTGAGCAACAGAAAGATTGCAGGGGTAAAGGAAAGTGAACGGGGGGGAATGAGGGGAGTCAGGTGAGTCGATAGAGCGTCTCATTGAGAGAGACGATTGGAAGAAAAAGGCAGGACATGAAGGCGAGAGGAGGAACAGGAGAGAATACCAAACAGCTGGATGAGTGGAGGATAAGAGAAGAAGAGAAAAGGGAGGCTCGCTCTCTGATTGGCCGGCTCCTGATGGTGATCGAAGGCGATTTGTCACTTGGACCTTGTGGCTTATGAAGCGATGCAGTGGTGACATATTTATGTAAACGTTAGCATTGCAAGGGTTCCCTCGACTGAAAGCCAATGGGATTCTTTTATTAGACTTTAGATTAACACAGAATATTTGAACTGAGACAAAAACACGTTTATATTTACACATTTTGTTCAGTGGGATAATCTCCACGTATTAACAACAATGATTTTTTAAGTAAAAGCTGAGGTTAAGCTATAAAGGAATTACAGCTTGGTCACATGACTTCACGTCACCACCGCTAAGCTAAAGGCGGCTAATGATGGGTTATAAAGGAACTACAGCACGGTCACATGACTTCACGTCACCACCGCTAAGCTAAAGGCGGCTAATGATGGGTTATAAAGGAACTACAGCACGGTCACATGACTTCACGTCACCACCGCTAAGCTAAAGGCGGCTAATGTTGGGCTATAAAGGAACTACAGCACGGTCACATGACTTCACGTCACCACCGCTAAGCTAAAGGTGGCTAATGTTGGGCTATAAAGGAACTACAGCACGGTCACATGACTTCACGTCACCAACGCTAAGCTAAAGGTGGCTAATGTTGGGCTATAAAAGAACTACAGCTTGGTCACATGACTTCACGTCATCACCGCTAAGCTAAAGGTGGCTAATGTTGGGCGCTAAAGGAACTACAGCACGGTCACATGACTTCACGTCACCACCGCTAAGCTAAAGGTGGCTAATGTTGGGCTATAAAGGAACTACAGCATGGTCACAAGACTTCACGTCACCACCGCTAAGCTAAAGGTGGCTAATGTTGGGCTATAAAGGAACTACAGCACGGTCACATGACTTCACGTCACCACCGCTAAGCTAAAGGTGGCTAATGTTGGGCTATAAAGGAAACTACTACTTTTGGAGTAGTGTGATAAGCAGCAATCAATCAGACGTCAAAGTCTTGCCTTTGCTTTGCCATTGGATAAGGCAATCAAACAATGCCATTTTTGAAATATTGAAATAACTTCTATATTTCCTTGATCTGATTTTTTTTTAAATACAGTAATCTCAGAAAAGAGAAGAGATGATTCATGCCATATTTTTACATTCTTTAGGCTGGTACATAACAATCAACACACACTCAAAACATTGCATAATCTCTATCACACACACACACTTATAAAACAGTTTAAAATACAGGTCAATTGAATCATTGAAAGGGAATAAACCAGACACCAAAACTATGCATATTGAGCTACGACCCGCCATTAATGTGAATAATCAACAATTACTCAATGAGGGCTAATGAGCAAATGTCTTGCCCCCTTTCCGAGACTAAATCTTTATCATGTCAGAGCATTGTTACATACTTAAAAACATGCCTGGAGATGGATTTCAAGTATTCTCCTGACATTTCCAGTGACGTAAAGATTATGTTAGTGCTTTTCTATATAATCTTCTGCACTGGAAGAAAGGCACCAACACACAGGGCCATCTTAAGTGCACCAGCCAAACGACCTCCGAACACAGCATGCACTTTGTTCCTCGCTCACACCTGTCAATCAAACACACACACATGACATCAGGACACAATGTTCCTGCCTCCTTGTTTCCATGCCTACCGTGCATTTCTGTGTGCACTTTACGTGTATATTTATGTGTTTGCATGTCATTTATTTCCGCCTCGCACACATACAAGGCTAAGGAAGATCATCTTATTAAGGGTAATTCAACGTATACATAAATCTTACAATGTGTGGTTCGCAGAGGTCCACATGTTGGAGATTTAGATAATAACTTGAAATAAATATGTCTTTATCTGTGTGTGTATTCAAATATGTCAAAGCTTAAAAACACGAAATGTCCTTAGGGACTTTTAAACAAGTCACTCTACTTTGAAATCCATTACATTTGAACCATTGTTTTCCATTTAATTAGATTAAACCCATTTTTCGACTGATTAATAAATGTTGGGGACCATTTAGGGTTAGATTTGTTTTAGGGTAGCTCCATCTAGATGTGTTAGCAATATATATTCAAAAGTCTTTACGTTAAGTGTCTCTATTCTCAAGTTTCGGATAGATTATCAGGATGTATTTCAATATTGTGATATGACACTAGGGCTGCACAATTAATAGAAACTTTATACAAATCACAATATGGACCAATATCCAAATCCCTGTAAGTTCAATTTTTGGTACAAACATTGCAAAATATGTGAAAAAACTTGAATGATGTCCCGACCTACAAGCTGTATTTTACAAACGGTTTGCTACAGATCCTCTTGATCACATAACACATGATCACATAACCCCATTATGTCTTTCGAGTACAATTAAATCAATGGTTTCTGCAACCTATTTGTGTTTAAACATGTGTGTGTGTGTGTGTGTGTTTGTGTGCACAGGTGTGGCGGAGCAGTTTGCCATAGCGGAGGCGAAGCTGAGAGCCTGGTCCTCTGTGGACGGAGACGAGTCCAACGACGACTCGTACGACGAGGACTTCCTGCCTAACAACGAGCCCAGCACACAGAGCACAGGTACACACACACACACACACACACACACACACACACACACACACACACACACACACACACACACACACACACACACACACACACACACACACATACACACACACACATACTCACACACACACACACACACACACATACACACACACACACACACACACACACACAGATTATCCAGGTGATTATTTCCCCGATTAATCGATTAGTTGCAGTCTATTTTTTTTCGATCAGAGCACAGGTACACACACACACACACATACACACACACACACACATACACACACAAACAGACACACACACACACACACACAGATTATCCAGGTGATTATTTTCCAGATTAATCGATTAGTTGCTGTCAAAAAAATGTAGAGCAGTTTTTTTTATCTTCAATTTATTTCACAGCCTCTCTCCCCTCCCCTCTCCCTCCCTTTCTCCCTCCCTTTCTCTCCCCCCTCTCTCTCCCCCCTCTCTCTCTCTGTGTCCCTCATTGTCCCAGTGCCCTAGTTTTCATCTTCTCCCGACATCTTTTTTTTGTTCCTCAGCGCAATCTGATATCCCTCCTGCAACTTTAATATCATTTCCTTTTGCTGCAGAGACAGTGTCCGTGTGAGCGGGTTATAAATACACACAGTGTGTTTGATCATGGCTGTGTGTGTGTGTGTGTGTGTGTGTGTGTGTGTGTGTGTACCTTTTAGCATTCATCTTGATTACAGTGAACCACCTTAGCCAGTACGACCTGCAGCTTCTAACAAGCAGCTCTGTCTCTATACACATCCATGGATTCTTCTTGCAAGACTCGCACACAAACAAGCATTAAATTATCTTAACAGTGGTGGGAAAATAACCAAGTACATTTACTCATTGCTGTCCTTACTGTATGTAAACCTTTGAGGTACTTGTAATGTGCTTTCTGTGCCACTTTTTTCTACAATTTGAAGAGAGAAACTGTTCTTTTTACAGTGTAGTATTATTAGTACTTTTACTGAATGAAACAAACTTTCTCCACCACTGCTTATACTATCCGCAGCTTCTCTAACTATGGCTTCTTAATACCATCATCTAGTGAATGGAGTTTCACACGTACACTCACATATATGTACATGACTTTAATCATCAAAAATAGCTTTTCTGCCGGACTTATTCAGATATTATTGATAGAAAAAATACTATTAGTATCATCAATGGCACATGGTAATCTGCTCATATATGATTCTGCAATATACAGTATACAGGAAATATAACTGATTCATAACAGATTTTCACCCCATAATTATGGTCACATAACCGTTTTATTGTAATATCTTAAAATATTAATAATCACATTGCTTTTATGTGTCTTCTCCCCCTTTTCTTGTGGAGTACATTCATGTGTGTCTGTGTTGTTGAAGGAGCCATCTTGTGTTGTCTTTACAGTACTGTTTGTTCTTCAGTTATGCTCACAGTGTGTGTGTTTCCTCTAGACCTGTCCTCGTATCCTCCCTACCTGAAGGACCTGATCCACAGCCAGCTTTGCCAACACCTGAGTCTGAGAGGAGGTGGAGGTGGAGGAGGTGGAGGTGGAGGAGGAGGTGGAGGTGGAGGAGGAGGTAGTGGAGGAGGAGGAGGAGGAGAAGGAGGAAGTGGCGGAGGAGGAGAAGGAAGTGGAGACCCCTCCCCCACCGCTGGCTCCCCGGACACCCTGTGCTCCAGCCTCTGCAGTCTGGACGACCATCTTCCTCTTCTGAGAGATCTGAATGGCGGCCATCGAGGAAACTACAGCAGCGCTGCCGAGCTCGCCGCCAAAATCCTGTCCGCGCTGCAGGGGGGGGAGGAGCTTCTGCTGGCTCGCCTCCAGAGAGCAGGAAGTGGAGGAAGTGGAGGAGGAAATGGAGGAGGACGAGGAGGAGGAATAAGGCCATGTGGAGGTCAGGATTCTCCGTGTTACTCCATGTCTTACTCCGAGACGTACCTCTCCCCCGGGGAGGACGAGGACGACGACACCCCCTGCAAGGACTATGAAAACACCGGCTGCCAGGTGGAGGGGGAGGGAAATGGAGGAGAGGAAGAGGAGGTATTCCCCCCAGAATATGTGCCGCGCAGGAGGGTCTCTGACGTGGCGTCCTCCGGGGTGGTGTCTCTGGACGAGGAGGAGGAGTTGGAGGAGGAAGAGGAGAGAGCAGGAGACGAGCAGTGACTCCTCTCCTCCCCCCTCAGAGTTGAACCCCCTCTTCAGAAGAATGTGTTGTTTTGTTGCCCCCCCCCCCTTCTCCATCACAGTCTAGTTGCCAGCAGTGTGGACCCATGACATGTTGATCACCCCAAAGGGTTATGATGGAAATGTATAGTGAGGATCCCCAGCACGTAGAACCTGCCGGATGTTAACTTGCATATGTTGGGCGATTTGCACAATTAGCATAGTTGCAAGTTGCAATAATAAGCGTTTGCAGACATTAGTTTCAAATCGGTTTTGGACAATTTGGACAATTTCGTTGTGGTTTTGGGTGTTTTTGAGGATGTTGAATCCATTTCTGGCATTTTCAGGATACAAATGTCAGTCTGAACCAGAAAGAGGCCGTATCTGTTCTCCAGATGGGTAGATTTAGTTGAATTTTGGGTCGATTTTTAAAGCTTTAGGGCACTCAAAACTGCCATTAATGATCTTAAAAATGTCACAAATAGATGTGTAGCTATTTTCTGCATATGCTAATTAATGCTAGTTAACGCAACTTATGATAATTGTGCACATTTCCAACATATCGGCACGTTCTCTGTGCTTCAGACCCGTACTAAACATTTCTAACCCAACACTTTGGGGTACTCAGCATTTCCAGGATCACAAAAGGACCCTATGAACTGGCAACTAGACTATTTCGGCATCTGAACGTTTTATCCGCCTCGCATGCTGTCCCCCCTTCTCCTCTGACTGAAGCATCCGTCTTTGCCTTACTTGCAGCATTTCAACTCCTCCCCGCCTCGCTTTGTCCCCATTCGATGTACCGACTCTATTTTCTTTAAAGGCGTCCAAACAATCTTTTTTATCAGTGTGAGAACAGGAGAGCTGGACTTCAGAAAGACTCAGTTTCCGTCCCTTCCCGTGAAGCGACTCTTTAAAAAAACGGACGCCGCCAACAGGCCGACAGAACGTCAGAGTCCCAAAACTCTGACTTATATTTGCATGTGTTTTGCAAGTGCTAAAACCGATGGGCTGACCTGGTCTTGAGCCCGGTTTGCAGTCTCAGCTGTTCTGTATCCCCCCCCCCCCCCTCCCCCTTTCTCCCCAGCGTATCCCTCTGGAGGGGAGCGTTGAACCTGCATCCCGGGATTTCCTCCCTCTCCTCCCCCCCCCCCTCTTTTCTCCTTTGCAAGAGACAAAATAGCATCCTTTCGGGCATGGCTTGCTAAGTATGCCAAACTATTTAACCCTGTCACTACCAATTATGAGCAAATGCTGGAATGTCTACAAAGTGACAGGGCATAGTATGTATTTTAAAATAACAAAAGTTTAAAAAAGAAAAAGATTTGTCACAAATGATATAACAGAAATGATATGCTTTTATTGTACTAGTTTTCTATCACTCAGACATGTTGTTGTTCACGTTATTCCAGACATCATTACGATGGACTTCTGCCGACTATAGCTTCTGGATATCTTTGGGGTTTTCATGTGGATTCCTTAAATGGGAGAAGTTTGGTTGTCTTAAAAAAAAATACAACAAACCCTGACAGATTGATCCTGAAGTGTAAGGGATGTTTGGCAGGAAGTGGCGCAGTGGAAGAGACAGGAAGTCGTCTCTCTGCAGAGATGCATCGGAGAATTTTCTATATTTTTGTATGCGTTGTCTTGCTTTGATCTCTTTGCCTACGCGGCGTGCCAGTGTATGTGGTTTTTTGCACGAAGCTAATGTGGCCGTAGATTTCTCCTTTTCTTCGTTATCACTGTGTGATATAGTTTACTGGGAAAAAAAATAACAAATGTGAATTTTATTTTTGATTTCAAAAGAGGATACTGTGATACGTTTTGTTATTGCATTCTGTCATGATCCTCCTGACGAGTTTTCTGTTTCCTTTCCTCTCATACCTTGGAAGCTTTGCCTTTGATTCTATACTTTCCTTTCTTTTTGATGATATTTGCAAAATGGCATGACATGATTTGTGACATATTCATCTCCGGAGATATGAGGAGCGACGTCGAGGGAAATGTCATTCATACAACTCAGGAAATCCCATTTGGACCAGAGCATCGATGCATCCCCCCCCCGCACATATAACACCAATCATCTGTCATTCTGTGTGTGTGCGTGTGTGTGTGTGTGTGTGTGTGTGTGTGTGTGTGTGTGTGTGTGTGTGTGTTTTTTGTAGAAAAAGCATGGTATTTTCTACAAATAATTAAAGCACAGATTCATTCCCCGAATCCTTCTTTCTTGTTGATCGACCGTTTAAAAAAAAAAAAAAGCCTCGACATGCGACAAACATGTTTGACGTTTTGTTCAAATGTGTGTGTGTGTGTGTGTGTGTGTGTGTGTGTGTGTGTGTGTGTGTATTGTAAGATGTCAGCGAGCTACTTAAGCTTGCATATCAATTCATAAACCCCTCCAATGCAGCGATTCCCTTTAAAACGTGAGCTCTCGTTGGAAGGATTTAACCTGTTGGCGGTTTTAAAAAGCAGTGTACGAACATCTGGAGGACATTGAGGAGGTTTTGGAAAAAGACAGCGACAACTCAGGGGGAAACCATTGATACCATAGCTGTGCCTTTCATTCATTCGTCACCTTTGACCTCCCAAGTTGTACATCATCACATCCTCCACGCTGGCGGTCACTTCTTTCCTCCCCCTCTCTTTTTCAAATTCTGTTTTTAGAGGCACTAATTCTCCTGTTGCTCCTCCGCTGGGTGTGTTTTCCCCCTCTCGCTGTAGCTGGAGG